TCATGGATTAAAAAAAAAAAAAACTAACACCTTGATTCAATATACACACGGTACAACAATACAAGATCTCCAATCTAAAATAGTAATCTGGGAATCTAATCCAAGGGGATCATCAGTTTTTCAGCTGACGAATTCATCGAATTATCGAATAACTCTGATGATTTGATACAGAGCTAAAGTCAACATCAACACATAACGAATCATTACATCCAGATCATTCAAAAAACACAACATACAATACTTCAAGTATGAACAGCAACCAAAAAGAGAAAAAACCCCAATCCACACAGCTCCTCCATCAATTTCAAACATAATCACAACCACAGATCTAAATATCGATCAGCAAACACATCGCACACTGACAGAAAACATCAAACCCATCCAACAATTTCACAAGCAAAGATCGAGCCAACAGAACCCAATCCAAAAGGTTACGTTACAGATCCACAAAACCAATCAACAACAGGTTCATTAACAAAAACGAATCAGACAATACCTTGCTTGAGACGATAGGAGATGATAATGAATCTCAAAAACGGAGGACAAAAAAAGGTATGCAGAGCTTGCGTATGGAACTGAACAGAGCTTGCTTGAGAGGATGATAAAAATGGAGATGAAGATGAGAAGGATTTATATAGAGAGAGAGAGGCGATGGGAAACCCTAGCTGTCAAAGGGGGGATTGAGATTTTAGGAGCAAAAGGCCAAAAAAAAAAATCAAACCAATACGAGTCCAACACCGGCCAAATCTATATCTATATCTATATAATAGACCAATCCTTAGTCCCATAATTGGCCTAATTTTAGGCGGGAAACTTTTTTGTCTATATTTGACATTTAATTAATATTTATTTATTGCCAAATCTTATGCATGAAAAACATAATTAATTTTTATACACTCAATGACTATTATTCCTTAACTACAAATTGGCTTAAATTTAAATTTTGATCATAGATTTATTAGATATATTTCAATAAGATCTTATATTAATTTAATAGTAATTTATTAACAAAATTCAAAAAAATTATTATAGAAATTGATTTGATTAAATATATTATCATCTATGGTTATATGGATTAATTTAATTAATTATATTCACTATTCATAAGTACTTAAAATATTTAATAAAATAATCAAATAATACTAATTTAATAAATAATTTAAAATATTAATAAAAGCTTCTGAAATGCAGTGATAATACTATTAAAAAGTTAATTAATATACTAATAAAAATAAAATTTGATGGTCGGGTGTAATTCATAATTTTAAATTTCACCGTAGAAATAATATGTACATAAAAAACTATTCAATTTTTAAAAATATATACTTTTTTTATATACTATTATATAATGAAAATATGTTAATAAAATAACAATGTATAATAATGTTAATTATAGCACTAGGTAATTGTGGAAATGTGTAACATATCTAAATATTCAAACAGATATTATGTAACTCATTATATAGGTTGAAAAATGAATTAAAGAAATAAATAAAAATAAAAAATGAAAACATAAAAATAAATAATTAACCATATAAAATTTATGTGTTGCAAAAAGATTAAAGTTACTAAAAATTACAATTTATTTACCAATATTTTTTAACATTTAATGCACTTAATAATTATAGCGGAAGATAAATAATATGGATTAACGTTGATCAATTATCAAGCAATGTGCAAATTTTGAATTGTTTAAAAAATTATAAGACTATGATAAACTATAATTTTATAAGTATGTTACTTGTATGCAAATATCATATAATCTTATACATTTATAATATTTTAATTAATAAAATTTATATATTAAATAGTCAAACTACAAAAAAAAATATAAAAATAGAAATTAACAATAATAGTAAATAAATAAATGTCATATTATTACTGAATAGAGTATTGTGGAAATATAACTTCATATTGTCTTATAAAATTTTATATTATTCAAATAAAAAATATTTTTTGTATTATACTCCGTGCATCGCACGGGTATCAACACTAGTAAATAGATATATAGATATGTATACTTTCAAACTTGAACGGTATATTTTAAAAAAATAATAAATCTAAAATATGAAATTTTATAATATTAGTATTTATTTTCTATCACTCAAATATCGTGAATCAGCACATTTAATGGTTAATAATGCAATAATAATTAAAAAATATAGTAAGAAAGAACAAAAGAATACAACACGTCACATGCTCTTGTAATATGAGACTATGGGCCTTTGCCTGATGGGCTCTTAACTCTTAATTGGTCTAAATTATAGAAATAAGGACATTCAAAGAATTTTTAAAACTGTTTTTATTTGGTCGGCCAGCAGAACCAAGAGTGCCCATGTTGAGGGTGGACAACAAGTCTGCCACTGCCTAATCAAGAACCCAGTACTCCGTGGACAGACTAAACACATTCGAGTGAAGTACATTTTGTCCGGGAGTCTGC